ATTTTTTCTCTTTTTTCTATCTACATCCCTCTACCCCTGTTCGTTTTAATTACATTTATGTTATTCTGTTTTTCCATTATCTTCATTTTTCTTTTTATACTCTATCGATAACAAAATCGATAATAACGTCCAACAAAATATCGATAAGAAAACCGATAGAAATATCGATAACAAAATGTATGACATATTCGACAAAAATTTCAATAGAAACCTCGATAATACCATTGGTAGAAAAATCGATAAATATCGATAACAAAATCGATAAATATCGATAACAAAAACAAAATCGATAAATATTGATCACATCGATCGACAAAGTCGATAAATATCGATAACAAAGCCGATAACTATCAATAACAAAATCGAAAAATATCGATAATATAATCGACAAATATCGATAACAAAATCGGTAAATATCGATAATAAAATCGATACAAAAAATATCGCTAACAAAATAGTTAAAAACGATACACGATATGTACACTATATAAGTGTGAGTGTTTGGTAAAAAAAGGGTGAGAGTATGCAAATTGAAACAAGATTTGGAATTTTGTTTTATTGAAATGCATAAAAAGTCTGATTTTGTTTTTTTAAACATTAAAAATGTTTGATATTAATTGAATTAACCTCAAAGGTAATCACATTTTTACAAAAGTTTTTTTTTACGCAATACGTTAATTCTTTTGTTTATAGGCCCGAATTTGTTTTGATTAAGCTTAGCGATTGGCATGAATGGTTAACCAAAACTAAAAACCTTGTACATCCAAGAAATCTCGTTTTAATAATGAACAAAAATTTGGTAGTTTGGAAACTGATTTGGTAGGCGTTTTGGTACCTATAAAATAAACTCAAGTGGCAACATTGTTTGCCATTGCTTCCGAGAGCCGACCGGATTGGAAAATATTTTTTAATTTTTTCTTTTTGGTGTAAATTGGAAACTGGGCTTGATCCCTGCAGAATAGTAGTGCGCACCTTTAACCACTACTCCACAGCAACCTAAATACTCTTAATAGTTCCATTACGATTATCTCGACGGTTTTCAATAGTACAATGATTCCCATTACCATAACACTTACCAATGCCATTACCAGTACTTTGACCATAGCCGTTACCATTAGCATTAAAACGACCATTACCAATTCCGTTACCGTTATCATAACGATTACTATTATTTTTAGCGTTACCATTACGGTTACCATTATAATTACAATTCTCGTCACTCTTAGGATTACCGTTACTATCAAAATTATCATTACCCTTACCATTAAGATTATATTAGCATTACCATTATCATTACAATTGCCATTATGCATACGGTGACCAACCGTCCTTTATTTTAAAGGACAGTCCTTTATTTTTACGCCCTGTCCTTTATAATTTTTTTCAAAATAAAGGACGCCTTTTGTCCTTTATTTCTTAAACTGTCCTTTAAACCAACTCTGCATGTGTCAGAGGTAAATTTTTAATCTCAGAATATGAAAAATAAAAATGTCCCTTATAAATATAATGACAATTTTCGCCAGTTTGTTTCGCACCCCACTTGAGGGTTTCCATTTAATCGATAATCTTTGTACAATCTATAAAGCATAGAGAAAATTGTGCCCAGGGTCGTGTTGCACGCTGAGCTTCCAGTTCCACTGAAAGAGAACAATAAACCCCCCTGCTGCACAGTGGTTCAAAACTGGCATTCATTCACTCCATTTTGCACTTAATTTGATTAATTTTAATCTTTTTTATGAAAGCTTACAATATTTGATTTGATTTCTGAATTTTATTTTGATTATATTAAATTTTTTAGTGCAAAAGCAATTTTGAAGAAAATGTATTCTCCTGTTCCAGTTAATAAATGTTACATAACAAAAACTTGTTGAAAACAATAGTATGGTCTCCCAAAACAACAAAATACACAACAAAAATTAAAAAAATTGGCATCAAAAAGATGTTCACCAAAAAAAATTTTTTAGTAAAAATTGGTGGAAAAATGAAGACGGTGGTGGATTATGAACATTTAATTCCAATTTTTAACCACTATGTGTTGGTTTCGTCGTGCAGTATGAATAATGGTAAACGCATTTTGGTAACAAAGGATGGCGAAGTCCTTGAAAAGGATTTGTACTGTAACTTGTAAATATTTGATTTAAATTACGATATGGGCAAGGTACTTTTATCATACAAGTTGTATGTACGTATTCCCAAATCAGTTTGAAAAAAATTCCTTTATTTTACGTTGGTTAATATGGCAACCATAATTATGCACCACATGTTTATACTCTCTTCCGCGCTCAAATAAGAAGACAAAAATTAAATCAATGAATTTTTAAAACACATATCTTTGCAAAACCGCCTAAATTGCCGTTGTAGTAAAAATGATATTTGTTAACCCTGAGCTCCAGGCATCGAGAATTATGCATAAAAATCTTTAAATCGTTATTTTAACAACAGATTTGTAAAATAATAGCTAGACAAAATACCACCTAACAAGGCAATGCCTTCAAAGAATAAACCGTTTTTTCGCTCTCCTGTAAAATGTGAGTGCCGCAAGATCAGCGGTTTTGCAATTGGTCGATGGGCGGTTTTGCAAATACATCGACGATATGTTTGTGTGTATGTAAATATTTCTGGCTGCTGTTGTTGCTACTAAAAATTTAAATTAGCATTTAGCAATTCCAATGATTTATCATTATTTTACTACTCGTTGACTCTCGTTTGGCGGCGTGACAGCATTTGTTATTTCGCGGCATATTGTATAGTATACGCTTACATATTTATGTACATATACATAAACGCTCGCCTGCTTGTGGTAGGCAGTGTTGCCAGAACTTTTTGGTCCGCTAAAATATAACAACTAAAATTCACATCTTTTATTTAAATAAATCACAAGTGGAAAGACTAGTAAAATCATTAAATAAATTTCAAAAACAGAGGCTGGTAAATTCATTACAAATTATTTTTGTTTAACAAAGGAAACTATCGTTATATGTACGTAGCTAACTATACAAGACATCTGCCGGTCATATACTGGTCATCTGACTGGGAGATTTGCAGCCTTTTGGCATCATATTTTACGTCAGAATTTAAGGGATTTCTGAAAAATCTGACCAGTTCTTTTGTGTACATGTGATTTTGCATCCCTTTTCATCATATGGCCTCGATGGATGTCAACTTAAGGTCTCTTAAAATTTGAGGGGAATTTTTACAGCATTTTTTACGTGTACTGGTTTTTATTTGAGTGTACTGAGCATCGGTCAGTCTAAAATGTCCTTTTCTTGTAGGGAAGCTTAACATCAGAAGTCATGTTTGTATTACTTAAACATAAAAAAGAGGTCAATTACAAACTTATGACGTTTTCTTTTCTATTGAAAAAGTTCGTCTTCTTATATTGTAACATTTTGTTATTTTTTAAGTGTTGCGTATAAAACTTGTCACTTAATACATTAGTAACAAAAATTTTATGAAATACATCCTCGCTACGTTCTTCTTTGGAAAAAAATACCGAGCTTTGGCTATTTTTCCCTTAGTTTGTTTAATGTCAATTATTTTCTTATGAAAATAGAGCTGATTACCTAAGAAACACCATATAAATCCAAACATTATGAAAATTCTAACAATTTTCACCGGAATTTGTAACCTTTAATCCGCGTCGTTAGAAACATTATGGTATGCATATGCATATGGTGCAAATTTGATGTAGCTAGGGCCTATCGTTGATTTTTGGCATTTTTATTAATGACGGTGTTACGAATTTTTTCTCATACAAAGTATGTGATACCATTTTTTTATATGGAAAATAAAGAATGCAGAACATCCTCAACAAAAAAATTGCCAAAAATTATTGGCATGTGCTAGTTACTTAAATTTGCACTTTGTAATATAATCAAATGTAAATTTTTTAAAGTAGCTGATTAAAAAAATAAATATTGTGGTGAAAATTTACAGAATTTTCACAATTTTCGCATAAAGTATAAAATTTGAATTTAAATGGTGTTTTTAAGTAATCAGCTACAATTTCATTAAAAAAAATAACAAGCATTAAATAAACTAAAGAAAAATAGCCAAAACTTGCTAAAATGCTCCAGTTTATATGCATATTCGCTTAAAATAAAAATCATTGAAATTGGCCCAGTATTTTAGGACTTTTCGGATTACAAAAAGTGGTCTTTCAATTTTATATAACCCAGTCCGACATGAAAATTTTCTCCGAGATAAAGCTAGCCATTTCTAATAGATTTTGAGTGGCCAAATTTCTTGAAAAGGAAACTTATGTATTTTAACTTTAAGAAAATATGTAAGGCTAGAGCAATTTTGGCTAAAATCGGCTAAAACGGCTATATTTTGTTTTCTTGCAAAACGTCTAACAAATCGGATGCCGGATAAATCAAATTTTCTCCGGCTGTTTGCTATCGCAACTGGCTAAATCTAGCCGGAAAACGTCTAAACTGGCAACACTTGTGGTAGGGCAAGTGCACACTTTACTCTTTGAAAATAATATTTTTACTTCCGTCATTACTGTGTTGCCCCCAAAAACTGATGGCAATAGGCAATTGCCCATTGCTTTAGTTTAGCTCCTATGGCTGCCACGTCGGCACACATTGGTCCTCAAGACTGAATACATAAGTACATTCATATTTAATTAATTAGATTGTAGTCAGGCGCATTAGCAGTCTCGACGGCCTCGATACGAACATGCCAAATGGCGATTGTTGATCGTGCAATCCCCTTAGGCTCTGTTGAAGTGCAAGCAAGCAAGCCTAATCGGCTTGCCAAAGCGTCGACAGAGAATTTCAATAATTCAAAGTAAGTGACTCGTTCTGTCGGCGATATTATAGTTAAATAATTTTATTCACTTACCGAGCATTTATGTACTTGTGTGTCTTAGTGAATTTTCAAAAGTAAATATACAAAAATATTTATTTCTGCATTGTGTTTGCATTTGAAAATGTAACTCTTGCATTATAATACTAATGAAATTTTTCGATTTCTTTGTTTTTCGGCTCTTTTAGGTTCAGAAGAGTATACACTTGCCATTAACGAGTTTGTCGTCGCCGCGTGTTTTGATGTGTAGCGCCTCAGTTGGCACCGAAGGTTCCGTTACGCTACAACTGAGAGACTCTTCCGATTCCAATCAGTCGCCGGCCCCGAGTTCTTTAGAAAATGCCTTGACCATTGGCTATCCCGATCCGGAGATGTTGGCCGACGTATTCGGCACACTGCAGACAGCCTGTAAGTATGCAACACAACATGTGTTTTCTCAGTTGAGAGTGCGCATTTCGCTAACTAACAGTGCATACTATTTATTGTTAAAAACAAATTTTAATTATTTGCAGCTTTCAAGAACCATAGCAGTGCATTAGCGTCAACGTCGCCAACAGCAACAACAACAAACCATAGCAATAATCAAATAAATATTTGTAGCAGCAGCAGCAACAGCAATAGCTGCAACAATAAAATTAAAACCACCAGTAGCGCGAGTAGCAATAGCAACAGCACCACCTCCACTTCAGCGTCCACACCTGCTAATAAAATTACAATAGGTCGGCGTAATCAAAGTGTATCAGCAAACACAACAACAACCGCATCAGCATCTTCCACCGCCACCAGCACAGCGTCAACAACCGCAACAACAACAACGTGCAAGACATCTGCTGTACAAACTGTGTCCACAGCAACGAATACCACCAATAAAACAACCAGCAGCTACGTAAAAAATTGCCTAATACGGAGCAGTAGCTGCAGCAACACGAACAACGTTACATCGCTGGCGCAGATAATGAGCAATAGCAGCACCAGCAGCTCATCATCGCTATTGAATCACAGCAATACGAATAGCAACAGTAACTGCAGCAGCAATAGCAATTTCAGTTCGTCAAGCAGCAGCAACGACAGCATTGTCAGCATAAATAGCAACAATAGTGGCGGTGGTGTTTTGAAGAGTGGTGGTAGTAGTAAGAGTACCGGCGCAGGCGGTGCAACAAGTGCAACGCTAAAGAAGAGTCGGCCGAAATTGTCTTCACCAACACGACATGGGCCACAGCAGTGTCAGGTGAGTTGGAAAAGAAGATAGGAAGAGGGTGGATGAATGACCACTATGGTCGTGTAAATTCCTAGAGCCTCGTAATAAGCGAGATACATACCGATTGAAAAATTCCCCGGTTATAACTTTATTACATTTTTGTTTGTAGTAGGACATACTCACCCGACCAAGAAACGTAGGTTAGCAGATTTTACGAGTCGCACGATAGTGTCTCTTATGCTCAAGCACCGCTTCACCGAAGAGTTTCGTATTTCAAACGGAAGTTCGTATGTTTGCTTTTATGTCCATCGAATGTATCGAGAATGTGTTCGTTTTATAGTTTTTCTCTAACTTTTCTCGGACAAAATATTCGAAAAAGTATATAGAAGGAGAAAGAAGAAATTTTCAAACATTAAAAAGTTAAACGTTTTGTTTCGCGTACGTGTTAATACAATAGTTAAGGAACCATATAATAAATCAGAGTAAGTATTGAAATTCCTTTGCAGGATAAACAATTTAGACTAATAAACTAATTATCCTTATCACACAAGTAGCACAACTCACACAGCTGGAGGAAATCGCAATCACACAAACTTTTTAAGGAAGCATATAAAACATCAGAGTAAGTATAAATAAATAAATATATTTAGCTAAATAACTGACTATTTTCTTACAATGCCTTGGTCACGCATGCAAGTGAAAATGTGTCGCACTTAAATGTTATTCGGATGCCATGGCGTATGAGTGACAAAAGGTGGTATTATCACTTGCGAAGCGAAATATTATAGCGTTTTCTTTTCTCAAAAAAAGTTCTGCCCTTTTATATGGGAACTCTTGCTTTGCGTTGCCCTGAAACCTGAGAAAATGTTGCGTTCTTTATATGAGAATGAAACAGAAAATATACTACTCCATCACATTTTATTTATAGAACTTAATAAAGCTGAATTATTCACTTGGCCTGTAATTCTTTAACAATTTTAAAGCAAAACACTTATTTCTGATAGGGAAAATAATTGCATTTTTACAAGAACAAATTAAAAATCAACCATGCAACTCTCACCCTCATGTTTATTTGAGGGCAGAAAAGGCAGTACTTTCGCCGGATCAGAGCGCAACCTGCTGAGAAAAGAACACGACGCCTTGTGAAAGGGGTGAGAAAAGAACATGAAAATGTGACAGCGCTAACACAAGGCAGAATAAGTGCAGCCTTTTTTCGAGAAAAGAAAACGCTATTAGTTGTGTTTAATGAAACCGAAAAAAGTGCAGAGCAGCTCAAGTTAGAGCAGAATAGAGCAGCTGTCAAAAAAAAAACGATAGAGCCAGTTAGAGCAACTCAGATCATAAATACCATGAAACACTTTTCAGGCAGCATTTCTCAAAACAGTCGATTGCTCGCAGGTTTATTCGTCTATTGTAAAGAGTGTGCGTGTGTTTTCTAGCTCTAAGTTACTCCTCATGAAACCCAATTTTGTGAGATAACTTAACCTGGCGTAACCTAGAGCAGCTCATTAAACACAACTATTATTGAGTGTTTGCGATGTAAAGAACTTATTTATCGCTTCCATGTAGTTATATAATTTATTAAAGCTACTCAAGTTTTCTTTTCTTAGAAAATGCCGCCTAAATGTAAACGACGCCAATACATTGCCATTTTTACTCAGATGCGGTTACAAAAAAGGTTGCATTGGAGGACAGCGCATTTGACAAAATAAGTCAAACATTTTTCCAGTACGCATATGGCCGAGTCTGCAAAATTTACAAGTATTAACAACTTTTAATTACATTTTCATGTTATAATTTTTAACTAATGAATATCTGTTATTTTAATTTAAAAAAATTTTTTAAAACTTGAGAAAACTGAACTCTTGTATTTTTACATTCTGTTAGATATAAAACAACTGTTACAATTTTAAAAGCACTCTTTTTAAATGGGAATTAACTGGAATGGAACAGCTCTAATTATATTAAACTAGTAAACTAGCTAAAATTCTCATTTTTATACCCGAGCGCACTTGTGCACAAGGGTATATTAACTTTGTTCGCATAATGGTTGTTTGTAACAGCCAAAACGCATCGAGATAGATATAGGCAAATGTATGCATAAATGATCAGAATGAAAAGAGAAGTCGATTAAGCCATGTCTGTCTGGCCGTCTGTCCGTGTATACGATAACTCGAGCAAAAATTGAGATATCTCAACGAAATTTTGTATGTAGATTGCCCTTTCTCCAAGGTAGGTTGGTATTGAAAATGGGCGAAATCGGTCTGTAACCACTCCCACTTCCCATATAACGGTATTTTCGAAAAATGCAAAAATTGCGATATTTCAGTAAATATTAGATGCAAATTGTTTAAAATAAGTTGTGCATTAGTTGTGTATCTGTATCTCAGTAGCCGCTTCACCAATCGCTACCAAACTCAGTAAGAGGCTTGGGTAGGGTCTAGCTAAGAAATCTGGTGAAAATCTTGGAAATCGGGTTATAACCACGCCCATCTGCCATATAACGGTAATTTACAGAAACACGAAAATTGAGATAAATCAGTAACTACTGTAACAAATTTACTTAAAATCGATGATTGCAATAACCACTTAGCAGAAAATTAGAATATTATAGATGTTTGGATAATGGGCGTGGCGCCGCCCACTTATGAGCGCAAATGTGTATCTCGGTAAGCGATTTATCACTTTCCACCAAACTCGGTGCACTTAATAACCTTGGTATGAAAAAGCAAGTTCTTGAAAATTATTCAAATCGGACTAAAATTACACCCGCTTCCCGTATAGCTGCAAATTTCAAAAATACGAAAACTCCGATATTTCAATGAGGACGCTAATTTACTCCAAGTTAATAGTTACAACAATCTCCTAACAATAAATAAGACTTATATAGACTTTTAGGAATTGGGCGTAGCAACGCCCACTTTATAACTACAAAGGTGTACCTCGGTAACCACTTAATCGATTTGTACATAACTAGGTTCAATTATATTATTAAGTATAACTCTGCATATTATCGGAAACGTTTGAAATCGGGTAAATATCCCTACTTATCATGCAAAGGTAGCTCATGCGCCGGGTAAATAAAGTTCGGTTTCGCCCGAACTTATACTTCTTTTATTTTGTGTTTCTATAAGTAGACAGAATTTTGCAATATTCCGATTAGTTTTGGCTGTTACGAACAACTGTTCTGCGAATAAAGTTAATATACCCTAGTGCACAAGTACGCTAGGATATAAAAAGTACAAAAATTCGTCACCAAAAAAAAATTCTCAAAAATCAACGGTCTTTTCTAGCAATTTGAAACTTGCACTTCATTAGACTAAAATTTTATGGGCCATAAAACTGCGTACCCAAAAATTATCTTAAGATTCAGATTAAAAAATGAAGAAATTTATGTTTTGTATGTCAGAGAAGACTCCAGCCGAACTCCGTTGCGTGTCAAGAAAAAGAGGTTTGAAACATGCCCAATATTTAAAAATATGTTAATAGCTTTTAGAAAAAGTGTATTTTTTGTTTCCCATTGTGAATTAGAAAAATTTAATTCAAAAAAATTTTTTGTCCACTACAGAAGTTTTGATCAATATGTTACAGCAAAAAGTCTTACCTACTAGGGCATTCAATCCCCAAGCATTATAACAATCCCGGGATTTCGTGATGCAAAAATTTCATATCCCGGGATTTTGACTTTACAACAATTTTTTTTTTCATTTTGCAGGAGGCTTGCCGTTCTCAGCAAACAAAAAATTAAACGGCAACTTAGTAAAAGAGTCCGTTGTTTAATGTTAGAATATTTTCATAGTATAAATATCTATATTAATTGTAAAAAAAACACTTACTCATGTTTGCAGAAATTCTATTTGCAGATTTTGGGTCCTGTCACAGTTCTTGAGGAAAATGTACAGTTATTCAGGCAGGTTCTGAAATTCACTTCCGATAGCAAATGACTCAAGTCCGTTTTCATGCCAAATTTATGTGAATTAATTATCTCGTTTTCAACTACACTTGGCCTCTAGAACTTGCCTCCGGGATTTCAGGGCAGGAAAAAGTGTCCAGGATCCCGAAATTCTGTATCCTAGGATTGAATGCCCTGAAGCTAATCAACAGAAGCGTAGGGAATTTGAAAATCAGTGTCAAATCGGGGCTCTTTTCAAAAAAAAGTCCCGTTATTAAATTACTCTCATCACATTTACATACACGATTTTTTTCAGATGGCGAGACGCTCATTTAATACTTCCATAGATTCGCTTCAATCTGATCTGTATTTCAACATAAATACACAAAAATGGCTACGAGCACTAATTGAACATTATTTAAATAAATTGTTGTTATATCATAACATGAAATTCTAAAATTTGTTTAGCCATTTCGACATAGTTTGACTCATTGGCTGCGCCTTGACTAGCGAACACAGCTACAGAAACATTTAAAAGCCAGCGTCGAAAAAAAGCACGCGAGTTTAGCGTGATTTTCGCAATTGATGTGTTTTTTTTTTTTTTTTTAAATAACCCGTGTAGTTTTTAGCGCGTATATAGTTACGTATATTACCAGCACGTGTAGCTTGTTTTCAGGCACTCAAATTTCCCATTCATATCTAGCAGAGAGCTGCAAAGTTCCCGACCCAAGCACTTACCTGAACGATGTTACTCGACGGCGCTCTCTTTCACGTTTTCCGCTATGCTCACATACTTAAGCAGTGTTGCCACAAAAAAATTACCAAATTCCTCGAAAACAAAGGAAAAATCCTGAAAATACGAACTAGTTACTCAAAATTTTCTAATTACAGATATTTAAAGGTACTTAACATAAAAATTAAGTACATACTCCAACTCAATTGGTACATTTGTTTTTGCGACTCAAACAAAGTATCGCCGTTATTTTGTATACCTTGCTTTGTATATAATATTGCTGCAACTATATCAGTTGTCAATCTGGTCCTCGAGTCAGTCCTATACATTTTTAAACTACTAAATATATGTTCTACTGAAGCATTAGAAAAGGGCTGTATTAGTAATGCAGATATAATTTTATTTATTTTCTTAAATTGGGAAACCTATCCCAACCTGAAGAATATTTTAATTCAAAAACTGTTTTCCTATAAATTTTTAGATCTAATTAAGAATTAATATGAATATTCTTACGATCGAACAATGCGTGTTCTCCCCATTCGTTATCGAGATTTTGCAAATTCAAACAATTTGAAAATATAACGATGGAATGAAAAAAATTATCGATAACATTTTAAATTTTGAGCACCAAATGCAGATAAGCTTAAAAGCGAAAAACACCACACGAGCGGGTTGACAAACTAAGCGAAATATCTCTTTGCTTAAAGCTATTTATGTTGTGCACGGGGGTGTTTGAAGGATGGACAAGCTGTTTGAGGGAATTTCTAAGATCCCGAACTGATAGATAAAAAATTTGTCTTTACTAAAGCATTCTCAATTACCTTTCGATTGAATCCCATATTGTAAAAATTTAGTTAAATTGGTTATGTATTTAAATCATTTTCATTTGAAGAAATTTGGCAACCCTGTTGATAAATTTGAGTAGGTCACACCTTACACCAGATGCTTCCATTTTACTCATAATAGGATAATTAAATTATATGTATATTTAAATTTACTTTTTAGATAGGTAGCAACGCTTTTCAAAAATATCCACACACACCCTTTAATGGAATGATTTACAGAAATTACAAATGCATATATATATATAATTTAATCCTTAGATAGTTAGCAAACCTATTGATAAATTTGACCGGATTGAAGCTTAGAGAAATAGTCCTCATATTATACTCCTCATAAAATGATTCACTGAAACTACATATATATTTAAATTAACTCTTAAGATACATAGGTGGCAACCCTATTAACAAATTTTATTATTTGATATTCATAAAGGAATAATTTACGCAAATTACATACATATGCATAATATATAAAATTTACCTTTTTAGGTAGGTGGCAACCCTATTTAAAATTATTACCTCTTGATAAAAGTGCATTGAGATGGCTTTCGTTAGATAAAAGCGTTGCAAAATTTTACGCCACTGAAATATTTAAATCACTTTATTTTCAGACAGATGGCGACCCTGTTTAAAAATTTGTATTTTTTGCCGAGAGCGGTAAAGCTGACCTTCAAAATTGTGTTTAAATATTTAAATTTCATGTAGTATGAGGGGAGATATGGAGCGATGACATGATACATATGGTTGTATGTATATAGATATTTACATATATATGTACTACATTCATGCATGTATACACATATTTAATGTATGCATTTACACCTGTGTAAATATGTATATATTTACATAAAACAACTTAAAGAAATACACCTAAATATATTTTGTGTGCATGAGACATATTACACTTCTTATATCTCAATTATCCTCTCAAACGAAAACTTCCTAAATTATAGCTGAAATACAATGCCGGCGAACGGCGAACGGCGAACTCACCACAGCGAAATTCGCGCTGTCAAAATTAGAACACCCGCACGCATATGAAATTGAACACAGCCAAAGCGAAATGCGAAGTTCGCTTGGCGGCGTTTCATGGCGATAGATTTATTTCTATCGCCCTGCTAGGCGATGACAGCTGTGCGTGCCAAAGGTGGCCGTATTTCTTTTTTGCTTTCAAAGTTTTAAAAGAAAACAGCCTAAACACGATTTTTTTTTGTTGTTTGAAAAATATAGTTGTGGATTCGTTACATCTGGCTTGGAACAAATTATTTATAATAATCTTTCTTTGTTTTACATTTATATTTGTTATCATTTCCTCATTTCTAAATATGGTTTAGTTTTTTCTAAATATGGTCACCCAAATTATAAAGGCGACCAAATGGGATCAGCTGTTTTCGCTACCGCTCTAATTCTGTTTAAGTAGGCGAAATAGCTGGGCGAACGGTGAATAACAGCATCGCCCAATTCGGCGAAGTTTGCCGTTCGCCGGTATTGTATTTCAAGCATTACTTGAAAGCCTCAATGCTTCCTTACCTTTTATTTTCGGAAGTTCCCCAACGTAGTACTCCTCTTTTACGGTCCTCTCTTTTTCGGAACGTATTTTTGTCGAGTATATTACTTAAATATTCGACACTTAGCGACTATACTTCTCTTCACTATCCGTGCTCTCAGTGAGAGGAAGAGTAGGAAGCGTATTCGCTAGAAAACTTCACTGTGAAGCGAAATGTCTTCCGATGCTGACCTCTAATACCTACATACCATAAATACATAGGAACAAACATTTATGCAATACTAAATGTACACCCAGTCGGCAAAATGAGGAGCGTTTGTAAATAAACGCCTTTCGGAAGGAATTTTTCAATAAGACCTTCTCTTTTGAAGCTTTATTAGAAAATCTTCCAATAGCACCGCCATTCGAAGGCAATGGTGAAGTGAAGTGGGAAGAGAAGATGTGTTTCCAAGGTAACCAAGGCAATAAATTCATACTGTTTCGTTCTTATTTCATGTAAACTTTTGCCCTTCTAAGCGAAGCTGAATCAGAAAGCCCGGAGACTCTGACCATTACCACATTGCCACATTTACCACACAAGGTCTGAAATCTGCCACATATTCACGTTTTTGAGTAGGTTAATTTTTGTTCGACTTAATTTTCTTTATTTTTTAATTCTAAGAGCGAAGAAAAGCGAAAGAAAAGCTGACAGTACTCTGCAAAGTTGCAAAAATCTTTCATAATATTTATAGTGTTTAATAGATAAAAGGCTTTAATTTTATAAAAAAAAAAATATAACCATTAAACAAACAAAGGAAAAACTGTCCAAACTTACCAAAATATTGCGACCTGGTTAATTTGTGCGGCAATAAAAGTACTACTTATTATATTTTTTGTTTCGTAATAAATAAACAAAGAAAAACAATAAATAATAAATCAGCTTAAAATTAAGATCTCCCACATTTTTTTGGAATCTACCACATTTTTTTCAGATTCCACACAGAATTGTTTATTCCGATCATTGCCTCTTATTATCTAGTTTTGTCGACCGGGTACATATGTATACCGAATATTTACGTTTATAAATATAAAACTATAGTTTTGTTGCTGTTTTTACTTGTTATTTGCAGATTTGTAGTAAAATCTTTGGAAATGCGTCAGCGTTGGCCAAGCACAAACTGACGCACAGCGACGAGCGGAAATACGTTTGTGCGATGTGCTCGAAGGCATTCAAACGACAAGATCACTTGTAAGTTAATTGCAGTCATTTCCAAAACTTTGATCGATGTATCTAATATTTATACACATACACCCCCATTCACTTGAATAGGCACATTTTTTTCTTCAATATCCGAGCTCATTTGCGGATTTGTGGGAAATGGAGAAGCTTTATTTAAATCTCATTTTCCAGAATAATTCATTTCGAAGAAAAGTAGTTAATAAAAAGGACATACGAGTACCTTGATTCCTTTGGATTTTATTATTCTAATTTTTTATCAAACTTCATGAAAAACCTACTTATTTTTTAATTCACTTGTATCTTTAACACATTGAAAGTATTCAACTCGGAACCAGCTGGTGGTAGCAGAGGAAGAGGGAGGCCCCCACTGCGATGGGAAGACCAGGTGGAGTAGGACTTGGCTTCACTTGGCATTTCCAATTGGCGTCAGTTGGCACAGAAGAGAAACAACTGGCGTGCTTTGTTGACCTCGGCCAAAATCGCTTAGGCGGTTACAGTGCCAAATAAGAGGGAGAAGTACACCTTTAGATGGGATACCTACTACATCCTAGGTGCCAATGTATAGAAATGACCCTGTCCGAAAGAGTGTTCTAGAGAAGGAGCAACTGTCTTTTTTAAGTTTAAGTCGGGTTAATAGGGTGGACGCTGAAAAATTAAACCTTTCATCATTTTTACAGCTGCTGTTTCAGGGATCGGTGCGTAATTTAAAAAAGTCTTTATAATTTTCTGTAATACCGAAGTACTGCACAATAAAACTGGTATATCTCTAGAAAGAAAAAGCGAATCACAACAAACGAAAAAGAATTTTAAAGTAGAAGAGAAATATTAAATGATGTCCTAAGTAGAAATTAGCAAAACATTTTTGTTTTGTTTTCATCATATAATCTCAAATATCGCCATAAACTGTGTTTTTGTCACTCTGAGGTTAGGATATCTCAAAATTCTAGCGTGATAGACCAATTCTGCGGCAAAATTTTCAGCACCGAAAAATCTACAAGAAACGATGTGTTTTATTCAGGTGGTAAAACAAAAAGTCAAATTTTATCTACACCGTTCGATCAATCAAAATATGTACAAATAATTTGAAAAGAAAAAAAGAAATACTTGACTTACCTGCGTAACACGCAAACATACTCTGAGCGTTCAGAATATATGAGTTCGAAAGTAATTCTAGGTGGGCAAGAAATATGAGCTTCAAAAACGAAAAATGTGTGACTCTTATATGAATCTTTTAGGAGTCATATACGTAAGAACGTAAGTACGTAGGTATGTACTATGTATGTACATATGCTATTTTGTATGCCTTTGCAAATATAGTGCGTTCAATCAGATTCAAAGAACAACCTAAAATAAAAACCCTAATGTGGTCTTTTAAGTGGACGATAAGAGCCTCGAAAAGAGTTTGAAATGATTGTTTTAAAGAGTCCAAAATGAGCCGTATATGAGGCTATTAAGGGAAACACCCTCATATCGGACTGTAAAATGAGCTCATTATGTGCGTAAAAGCTCCGAAATAGGACACCTTAAAGACTCATTTATGACTCCAAATCAGAGTTGGGCAGCGAGAGCTTTGTAAATATATATGGAGAAATATGTGGAGTTATCAAAATTGATCGAGTTGTAGAAATTTTTAGAGCTATCGAAAGTTTATCTAGCTATCTAGACAATAAATAAGACTGTTGTACACTTATAGACAGTTTAGAGAAAGTTGAAACGACGATATTTGATACCTGCGCCGGGTATATAAAATTCGATTTCGGCTGAACTTATACTACTTTACTTGTTCCAATTTTACTTCCTGCAAAGACCTGGATCCGCGAAGCACTAAAATTATGCGGTTTTTGGCCGTTGAAAGTGTGCCATCTCCGCCGATTCTTGCGCTGTTATAGTTCGAATTCCTTTAAATTCTTACAAAGTTTTAAGCACAAATTTAATAACTTTGCTATACGCGATTACTTGTACGTATTCAAGTGAATTAAAAATATTTGCATCTTTTTCGCGTAGCTTGATAGAAACGCTTCCCTGCGAAATTGTTAAGTATTCAAATACCCGCAATTTCAGATAAAATCTCGGATCATCGAGAAAAAAATGTGCCTATTCAAGTGGATCAGAGTGTACTTACGTACAAGAATAATAAAATAAGTAAAACACATACATGCATGCATATTTGTTATTTTATTCCATATTTCGCTTAATATTTGTTCACAGGAATGGCCATATGATGACACATCGCAATAAGAAGCCATACGAATGCAAAGCCGAAGGCTGTGGTAAATCATACTGTGACGCACGTTCATTGCGACGTCACACTGAGAATCATCATTCGGGTATTATAACTCCACAAAATCAAACACTCTCACCGAATTCTGGTACACCGACCGGACTGAGCCTTTCGCCGGCAACAGCAAGCGGTGAGCAGCTCGTTGTTTCTCTCAAAGAACACAATTGATTGCGCTGATCCTTTATTTGTGTGTGTGTGTGTGTTTGTGTTGTTTCGTTTCATTTTACAGGAGACGCCAGCTCCCCTGACGGTGCCACTTGCATACGCACTTACATCTCTTCAGGTGGTACTATTGTTGATGCTGCGACTGGTGTGGCGCTTACCGAAGAGCAAATAAAATCCATCAATTTACCCATTAAAACTGGTGTAACGCTACTCTCGCCAACTTCCACGTCGTCTGCGTCGTCCATGGGCGGCGTATCTTTACCCGCCTCATCGCCAACAATTGCCCTCACTGAGACAAGTCTTGTAGATGCTGGCGAAGGTCTCACTCGTGAACAATTGGATTTGATAAGTAAGATCATGCAACAGACGAAGCAGACCAGCGCACAGGTGACGGTCTCATCGCCAACCAGTGTCAATTCGTACAAAGTAGATACGAATCTGTCTTCGACTGCACTAGATGCGGCGAGTCCACAACATGCGGCTGCTGGAGCATCAAATCGTCCGCGTACATGGAATATGCAATTGGTAAGATGGATAGGGGGATGAAATACAGTAATTATAATATTATAACACATGCGTTAGACAAATGGGGAATGGAAACTAAAGAATATACATACGTACTAGGGATGGGTAAATTTTTCTGGAAAAAATCGAATTTTGCTGGAAAAAATCAACTTATTAAATAATTTGATTTTGATTTTCTTATATACAGCCCTTTTCATAGAACTAAAACTATGTTGCAGACTCAGAGGACAAGCCTTTAATTTGGCACCTCATTTTTTTAAATTGAACGAACGATACAGACTTTATGACTTGGTGTTAAATATTTAACTCAAACATCTCCGAACTCGATTAAGAAGTTTCACTTCAAACATTTTTTGGAAAATTCGAAAAAGTTCGAATTAAATCGAATTTGCACCACCAAATTTCGAATCTAATAATCGAATGTTTGGGCAATGTTCGAAGTTCGGAAAAAATCGAATTGCAACTCCGCACTACCCATCCCTAATACGTACAGAAGGAGGTGGCATAGATTTTAAATCCACCTATAACCATATGTAACCTATAGCTAAAAACTTAGGATGGGCAACGGAGATAATTCAATCTAAGTCGATTCCCTTTTTATTTGTCACAAATTTTGTTGGGATTCGGGGCACATATCTATGTATGTAAGTTTCATAATTATACGATCCTTCAAGCCTGCCAGCTAAGCTACTACTCACGTAGAGCTGCGAGGAGCTTATAAGGTCTATGCATAAGAAGAATGTGGTCGAATCTAAATGTGCTCTGCACAATCTACAAGAAAGGCAATATAAGTCAACTGAAGCGAGATGCTCCGAATAAGTATTGATTACAAGGTCTCTGTCGTGAGAACTGCGATAAAGTCTAAAGTCAACTGCTGATGCCACGAAGTAGTTGAGCCTTATCAGGGCAGCCTTAGGTCTGGTAAATTCACCATAGACCATATCTTCTTCTTCATAATCTTTGAAAAGATACTGTTGTGCGAGGGGAAAGTCACCCTCCCCTAAAAGTATTCGTAACTAGCGAACAAATTGGAACCACTCCCTTTATTTCTTATAGGCAGTGTGCAAACCACATATGTGGTAGATCTATCACATATTTTTTATAATTGGATGTCTACCACATTTACCACATTTGTTTACAATTTTCACATAACTCTAAAATTTCAACTCAATTCTTATACGAAATATAAAAATTAGTCAGTAAAAATTTTTAAAAAGGTACATCATAAATTTTGCTTTGAATATTTGTAGATATCTATCATTAACCTAATGTATAAGAATTTAAGGAATGTATCGTCCACAATGCCACCTTTCGTGTAAATTTTTAGTCCCAATATTTATTTTCAATTGGCTTATATATGTTCTAAGTACGAGCCAAAACGGCAAGCAAATGCAATTTTTAGGAATATTCTGACCCCAGCGCCACCTAGCGCGTAAATGTTTGGTAGAAATATTTATTTTCAAGGATAGTCGGCACCATCGACAGTTTTTTACGCCCCCAACGATAGACTATTGATAGTTTTTTTTTCGAATTATAAGTGTATTTATTTGAATTTTCCCGTTTACATAATCTCTGAATGTATATTTTACGATATTGTTAAGTCTAATTTCATATTATGCAAAGTGAAATGATATTTAAATTATAAATTTGAATCTTTATTATTTATTAAGTATTTTTTAATTAGTAGTAGACACCCGGCGTGCTCCACTGTGCCTTAAAAGTATTTTTGTGTTGTTACTCCCTCCCAAAACTGTTATAGCCCCATTCATAAAACAATATAAGAGATTTAAAGAGCTGTATGAAGTGAGATTTCCAAATAAATATGGGAGTTAGTTAATATATTTTCGAAGCTACTTAGAAAATACGTAAAGTATTCCCTTTTCTCATGGGAATTTAATTTGTCCAGTCTATATATCGCGCACTTTCTTCAACGTAGAACTTATTCAAAATATATATACCTTGCATTACCTTTTACTGAATTTAATTTTTCAAATAGGTCGCAATCCTTTTCAAACATATTTTCAACAGTAAACTTTCTTAAACCTCTTTAGTTTAATACCGGTATTTTTATATTTCATTTATTTTATTAATTTAATGGAATACAAATTTTCAAACAAGTGACAAATCTACTCGAAAACATGGTCGGTCGTAAACTTTCCTAAACCTCCTTGATTTGATACCTATATTGAAATATTTTACTTATCTTGCCAACTAAATTAATTAAGCCATGTTTGTCTGTCTGTTTGCGTGAAGGTAATCTGATATTTGGTAAGCGGATGTAGTTTTATAATGCTAGGAATATGAAATTTCGAACTATTTTCACTTATTGGGTGTGGAAAATTCGACCGTTTATCTAATTTTTTAAGAGCCTTGGAGAGGGTTTCTGGCTTTAGCAGGTCCTTTAACATATAAAGTACAAAATTACTTACCGGAAAATCTCCTGCTTTGGAACTAAGACGTCATTAAAAGTTTTTGTGTCCTTGAAGGTCTTTGGAGGATTTTAGCAGGACTTGGAATTTACCCGATATATTTCAGTTTGTCGATAAGTTTAGATAATTTGATACAAATCGATAATTTTATGAATTAAAAAAAACACTAAAATTCAATAACTGAACAAAATTCTATAACTCGAGTAATTTCGATAACTGCGTTTCGAGGGCTCGATAAATTTCGATAACTCAAAAACGTATATATCTTGATATAAATCGATGACTCAATAAACGTTGGATACCTCTAGAAACTTCGATAACTCGGCTGATTTTAATAGCCCAATAAAATTCGATAGACAGTGACAACTCGATAAACTTATATAACCTTGAAATCTCGATAACTTGATATATTCTGTAAATTACAAAAATTTCTTTCGATTCTAACCATCCGTTAATTTCGGCAACTAATTTTCCGTGTCTGTCAATTTAAATAATTCAATACTTTGCGATAATTCAATAAATATGAATAACTCGATAAATTTCGATAACTATAAACTTCGGGTCACTATAAACTATAGTTCCAATACAACGGATTGTTCAGATATTTGAATTTTGTTACACTTATGTATATTTATTTTTAATAAATGAAATATCAATCGGTTCCTGTTATAATCACACATTTATTATTTTAATCGGAGTAGTGATTTTAGTTAGATGCACACAACCGAAGATTTCAATACAAGCAAGATTTTCATCCAGCACTTCTCGTTTTTTAGCACCGCATCTGATGCATTTTCGATGGTGCATATATCCGGGAAATACTGTATTATTTTTTCTTGTTAAGAGATTGTTACAAAAGTGTGCTAAAGTAATGCTCGCCTACTCGTATTTCGCATGAATGTTTCACTATTCAGGCCTATTTTAATTTCCCCTGAGATATCCAGTTTCGTTCGGAAGTGGGTTAAAGTGACGGGAATTCGATTCTTTTAACCCGAAGTCTATTCCACAAAAAAGTTTACGACAAACGTTATATACTTTTGTGCGCAGAATCCGCATCTGTGATAAAAACATGTACATGCAGAAAATCCCAACTTGGTAGTTCATATTCTTGCGTTTCCCAATAAAAAATTGTTCCCCATTTTATAAGGGGATGACGCGTGGTCTAGGACAACCTGTATAGATAAAGTTCTTAAGTTGGGAATTTATTCAAAATTCTGGTTTTTAATAAAGGCCTAAACTAATTTTTTGGTGTAGTAGCTGGTTTTGAATTCCATTAGGCCTTTAGTGAGTGATCCATCGATCTTTGTACAAAGCTAAATTTCGAAAAAAATGTGTGCCTTTCTATATTAAGGTAATGGTTTTTATGCACTTCCACTTGTATCTATCTCGATTCTTTAAGGCTTTAAAAAATAACCGTTATGTAAAACAAGGCTATCTTCTTATTATTGAAAGTGTTGTAGTTAAGATCTTCGTAGTTCGGACAGAAAATTTAGTAGTGTTTCATTTACCTAAGAGGGACCTCCTCAATTTTGAATCCTTAAAACCGAAAATTTTTGAATTATAACTTACTATAGATTTCTCTCCCGTTGGCATTTAATACGCGATTCTATTTGTAGTTAAATACCACCCAAAATGTATCCATCACGGTTGATGAAACCAACTCCGACGCAACGTCCAGCACAGCAACTTCACCCATCGAAGCCAAGGAGGAGGAAATTAATCAACAATTTGTAGCCGCCATCAATCCGCACCTTTTAAACATCGTCAAAATGGACCAAAAGCCTGTTGAGTGCAATTTGTGCCATCGTAAATTTAAGAACATACCAGCACTTAACGGACACATGCGGCTACATGGCGGCTATTTTAAAAAAGATCCCGAAACTAAAAAGGCCGAGAAGAAAGAACACAGCGGTCCACCGCTACAAACGGCCAGTATTGGCGTGCGGGCGCTGATTGAAGAGAAAATCATAAGCAAACGCAAAGATATGAACAAGGTACGTTTAATTAATGACAGAAAATACTAAATTAGCAATTATGGTTTTACTCTTTTTTTTTGCGCAGGGTGCCTTCGTAGTTCCTGCACCACCCAGTAGTGTATCCAGCACATCCACAATCCGACGATCGATTAGCGATCTAGAAAGTTTCCTTAGTCCAAAATCACACAACAATAATGGTGGTGGTAATATTGCCAACAGTAGCAGTGCCAATTCTCCCAACCAGACCTCGACCACCGCCACCACCACCACCACAGCCACCATGCTACCTGCTGCATCAACAATCAAGAATTATAATGGTGGCTTGCAGCAAATCGGTATGACGCAGGGCATAGAGATTTTCAGTACAAAACAACAAAAGGCAAGCGGTAACGTTAGCCTTGGCTTGGGCGTAGGCTTTAGTGCGGCTCTGCAAACAACTAATTCAACGATGAATCCGTCAACGACCAAATCAACAGCAACGACAAATACAACGACTACAAAAGGCACTTCGACCGATCCAAAAGATTCAACGCTTATTGAGTTATTAAAGCGCGGCACCCGTATAGCCGTCACTGCCAAGAAGCCACTAAATAGTACAAACGCAATTACAAATATTGGAAGCAACAACAATGGCAGCGGCGGACCACGGCAGATAATCACAAATAATAATCGCACCCTGATTATCCCGTCCGATGTGCAGGTCCTGCCCACCCGCATAGCTAAGTCCAGTGCTAATGCGTCACGAACTTCTACTCCCGGCTCTATAGCTCTGGCCGACACGACGCCACTTTCGCTCACTATTTCCCAAAGTGGAGACAGTAGTATGGGAGGCGACGTATACACAGTTACCTATAGCAGCGATACATCTGGCTTTTTCGATGATGCCGAAGTCTACAACGTCGCTGATACGGATATGCTGCTGCAGACTGTAGATACAATGCAGTTGCTCAACGATGACTCACAACAGCTGAAAAGCGAACATTCCGAACACTTTGGCACTGTGACCGGTGTAAGCATCGCCGGAGGCGATCAAATTGATAACGGCGGCAATTGCGTTCAGACCGAATACTTAAAGTTAGAAGTCGACGGTGTTAATGTAAATGCCATGTCCAACACTTTACCCACTTTCCAACAATTCCATTCCAAAGAGCTCATCATGCAGAATAGTGCCCAGATACAGGCTGTGACTAGTATGCGATCCAATTCGCATCAATTGGGTACGATGTCCTCACCGATAAACTCTCCACTTGCATATCCCACGCCGCCCTCTAGTCACGAAAATATGACACAATCTTCGCCATACGTAGAGGATGGACACCAGTATTCGGAAGTGGCGAACGCTTTTTTTAATGAAAAATGTAGCGCAGACTTTCTCGCACAGTCAGCCACTGAAGTGACCTTCTTCAAAGGCAGCGACAATCAGCATGAGCTGACCGATGCCGAGAAGATACTAAAGCTAAAGACGGTGCTAGAAGAGAGTGCCTTTGATGGATCCATTAAGGTCGAAGATTTATTAAATGGTGCGCAAGATGACGACGCCGAATGTGATTTACGCGATTTTGCTGATACAAATCTGGCCTTCTTGGATGAGGATCAAGAGTTTCTGAATGATTCGCGAAATGCAACTTCGCCGCTTCCAGAATCTTTCTTTACAGGCAGCATTGGAACGGCGGACGAAGTCAAAGAAGTATTACGCGATGTGCTGCCTGACGAAAACATAAATCTCAATTGTGAAGAGCAGTCCGGCGAAAACATTATTGATCTGTATTATCTGCCCGGTTTGGGTTTGCAATCGCAGATGATGCCCAACTCAGACGATCCATTGTTGTCCTCCTCTCCAAGAGACTTTGGCCAACAAAGGGGCCAAGTTATACAGCCGACACAGCACGTGCAAGTCCAACAGCAGCAGCAACTGCCACAACAACAACAGCAGCAGCAACAACAACATCCACATCAGCAATCGCTAACACAATCACAGTCAATGCAACAGACCACGCAGCAATTACTGTACGCGCAGCAAATAGAGCAGCAGATGCAGCAGCAGCAGCAGCAACAGCAGCAGCAGCAGCAAATGTCTGCTGGTGAAAGCTACGTTGGCAATCACTATACAGTCGGCGAAGGTAACGCTTCGAATACGACGCTTCAGTACAATCTACAGAATCTACCGCAAGTACAAAACCAACAACAGTTTGTTGAAGCCAACACGCCGATCCAGCATGTGTCCACGCTCGATGGCAGCATTTTGCACCAACAACTGGTATTCACAGGCTCAACGGATAAGCAGGAAATACACATAACAGGACAACATGGCGACATCGGGCTTCTGTCAACCAACTGCACTCTCAATACCGACACTAATATTTACTTCGCCAGCAACTCCAATAATTCCAGCAATTCTATGTCAGTATTGCAACAGGCTGGAAATCATGCAAACGTCAGCAATATAGCATCCTCCTCATCGGCTTGTCTGCCGCCTGTGGCATCCACAGTTATTTCTACGCTACAACCCCTCTCCAACCAAACCAATTCCATACTAAAGCGACGCCTGCGACCGCATAATTCCAATGATTCCAGTAGCTCTCAAAGTTTTGCTAAATACCATCCGTTGTCGCCGTATCGCTCTAAACTGCGCAAACCTTCACGCACGCACTACACACCTGCGCCCATACTCAACCCCGATCGAAAAGGTGTCGGTCTTTATTGCAGCGTGCGAAAGCAGCTCAATACAGGAATGCTCGGTTTTGATAGTTTTGACGATGATTTTGACGATCCGGTCGGACTAGTGGACTTTTCCGACGAATCCAAAGTTAATCTAGGCTCAGCTTATCAAGCGCAAATACCACCCTGCCGCGAGCGGATACAAAGTGCGAGTAGCGATGCCGCAACCGACGGTAAAATGTGCAAAGACACCTCCTGCTTTGCGGTCGAGGAGCCTGTGGGTGCAGAGCAATTATGGGATCCCACCGTACAAATGGACGAGAAGATATTGATGCGCTACATTGACCTGAGTAAGTCGTCAGCGGTGCCGTTGGGCAGCCACTCCGAAGAGGTTGCGCTACAAACATTGCTCAAAGCACGCGGTAACCTGGCAGCAGCGGTACTAACCCTCTTGCAAACACAATCGAATGCATTCCAAATGAAGTGGACCGCTACGGAATTGGAGGTGTTCTTGAAGGGCTTGGAACGGCATGGCAAAGACTTTGGGCGCATCGCGCAAGAGGTAAGAAGCCGCCGCTGTGAGGAAAACACTTTGATAATAAATTTCAATTTACATATCATTTTGTTACATTTGTACAGCTGGGTTCGAAGTCAACTGGTGAATGTGTGCAAATGTACTACTTTTGGAAAAAGCTATGCGTCGACTATAAAGTGACGCACCTGAAAACTGAAACGCCACCGCCGCCACCGGCAAATGATCCCAAGCCGTATGTGTGTGAAGTGCCTGATTGTTCGGCCGTAAGTAAAATTTCGAAATTTCATTTATAATATGATTAAATTAAACTAACAAAGCACAAATAAAAAAGAAACTTTAATTTTGCCTCCTACATAGAACTGTGCAGATTTACATTTAATAAAAATCGTTTGTTAAAGTTATTTTATTTAAGACACCCTCCACTTTGTACAAAGATACCAATATATAATTCAAAATCTACATTTGTAATATATTTCCCACAACTTTTCTCCTGCGAAAATGCTTTCTCTACACTCTGCGTTGTGCTGCTGATTCCGCAGAGCTTTACCTCAAAAGCTGCCCTGCATGGCCATACACGCATACATACGTACGGCAGAAACGCCAACAGCCATAATAACAACAACAATAATAACAACCATCATAATCATAACAGCAACAATGCCACAGGCAACACAACTAATACAAACGGTGCCACAATAGGCGGCTCGACAACAACCCTCGCTCAACAGAGCAACATCTCAGCATCACAATCGCAAACTCAAAATGCCAATGCGATCGGAGCGTCGGTTAAAGACGGTAGTCAAAGCAGTGCGGGCAATACCGCGATTAGCGCCAACAAGGACACCGATTTTCCCTGCAAGGTGTGCGGCAAGTAAGACTCCCCCACTCTCTCTCTCTCTCACACTATCTCTGTCAACTACGTAATGTCATTTCTGTATTCGTAAACGTAAATGTAACCGCTACTGTTACCGTTACTGTAAAATTATGCTACAAATGTTTCTCATACATACAATATTTGCATATACACCTACATACAAATCTGTATTTATTTTATTTTTTTATTCATTCATTGAAATATCTGTTTAACTTTGAGTAAATGGAGGTACGCGATGGCCGATAACATGTTTAGGCGCCGAAAAACATGCAGAGGCTTGGCAATCGATTGTTCTCCTCGTGGTAGATTGGTAGGCCAGACGAGTTTTGGTAGGCTTTTGTAACATTTATAAATAAAAATACTGAGTTAAAACCTACACAGTTTTTAGTATTTTCTTCTTGAAGAAGTTTTTAACTGGCTTAAAAATGGGAGGAGGTTAACAAATCTTTGGGCCACCGGAACCAATTTTTATAAATTTTTTTTTTTTTTTTTTTAAGGAAAGATTGTACATCGGAGGTGGTCCCATACTGATTTGGTTTAGATTCGATCATTGGATCATGAAGAAATTAACGGTATATATGAAATAAAATTTTTATATGAGAATTGAATTCGGCTTTGTTTTTTGCTTAAAAAATAATTCTTTGCAGGTTCATCGGCTCGTTTTTAACAGCTTATTGTTTTGTTGACATTAGGTTAGTATTTGTCAGATATTTTTATATAGTTCTATGGATTTTTTAATGGCAGAACTGGCGATCAACCTGAGTAAATCTGTTAGGTTTCACCAGCATATCGTGATCTGGCATCTGGCTCTCATGCCAAATTATATAAAATGCCATTCCAAAAATTATATAAAATCCCAACGTAGGCGTTAAGCCAGCGTTCAGAAGGGCTTTGAAACTTTTTATGTTGGAGTTATGGCCCAGTGCATCCTGCGCCGACTGTAAGCTAACCCGATGAGAAGTAGTCTACAAGTTACCGCAAGAACTCGAATACCCTCCCTGTCCGGAGAGATAACTTGAAGGTTACCTAGCATATGTAGTTCAACAGCCATACAATTTTATGAAATGCCCTTGTGTCCTGGGACTCAAATTTGATATGGAAGTAATCAGAAACGATCGCGAGAGAACTCAAGCATTTCGCGACCAGTTTCGATAGTATAATGACCAAGCCTAGCGCCCTGACTGCCGCTGGACTATCTGAGTTGATATTTATTTACGCCTTTTTATCGGTAATACACTTGTGAGTTGCCAGTTGGCTGTCTCTTTCTAGCAACCAATTCTGGCAGAAAAGGGCTACAGCAATTAGACAGACTAAACATAATATTTACAGAATACACCTCCACTGACTATGCCGTCCATCTATTAAACTATAACAGCTGCATTTTTTGTCCCGTATAGTGAAAAAGGCACGATCTCTTATACAAACCATTTTTGCAGCAATACGGGTTTTTTAAGAATCACACGCAGAAGCTTAACTTTGTCAGATAGCACATATGACATCAGTAGTATGTATGAGAAAAGATGGTCAAATGGAACTCCAATTTTACAGTATTAATAGCACGTCCGAAGCTTACACATTGTCTAAACACTTTCCTCTGTCTATGAGTGGCATGCTATCCTTTCCAGCTCCTCCAGGACGTCGTTTGCCATGGCGATCCAGAGAAAGGGTGAGAGAACGTCTGCCTGGACGATACCTCTAATCACCCTAAAATGGCCAGAGCGGAGGGATAAATCTAACCTCTGAGTTTAGTAATGGCAATAGCCATTTTAGCAAATAATAATTACTGGGAAGCACTACTGTACCTGTTGTATATTTTTATAATCTCTAAAAGTAAACAAATGTTTGAGTATTTATGTTATCTTTAGACTTTCTTTTAATTATTAAATATAGTTTCATTTACATCTAGTCTATATCTACATACATTTCAACACATTTCAATCCTCATACAAACATAATTATATTAAACTGATTTTTTAAAAAGTCATATGGGATAATAATAATTGTTGTTATTGTTGTTGTATTGTATTGTTCCATGTTTTAAAATGAAAAAAAGCGAAAAAAAACTAAACAAAAATACGAAATGACTGAATAATTATAATTTAAATCGAAAAATAAACAAAAATAACTCGCATCAAACAATAATGAATCAGCGATCACATCAATAAAAAAATCAATTACAATATTCATATATACATACATATGTACATCAAATAACCCAAATATATTAACTAATCTAAAAATAAAAAATGAAAATCGAAAACTCAATAATGAAACAAAAATTGAATTACTAATTTTTACATGTATGAATCGCGCAGAATCAAAAATCACAAATTGAATTGCGAGTTGACACTCCTTCCCACCACGCTGTTGTATAACGACGCGCACGCGCAAGCGCGCCCATGTTGAAAGTGCTAGCTCGCTCACTGAAGCAGCAGCCGCCACTGCAACCGGCATGTGTCTTTCAGCGCCACACTCGACCAAAACGTAAAATTGTAAGTGGTGTTCGTTTCTTTGCTAAATATAAATTTACTCTTTCATTTCCATTTGAATTTTCAATTACAATTATCGAATTATATATAATTCATTTCAAATTCCTCTTCTCTCTCTCTCTCTATGTCTGTATCTCTCTCACACATGCCGATAATAAATAATAATACGTATTACTCTTAATTACTCCATTTTAAAATCCGCCATTATTTTTAACACTACCTCTCCCAAAAAAAAAAACAAAGAAAAAACACACTCGTGTAGTAACGTTGTGAACACTTGTAAAGAAATTACCCCACCCCGCCTTTTTTAGACTTACATAGTTTTAAATTATATTCACACGCCGTGCTAATCTCGCCACCAGCATTATAGATACACATTTACCCCTTAAAAAAATCATTAACTCTTTTACCTAAAACACCCAAACGCAACGATATGCAAATGTAAATATGCTCGTAAATCATACAAATGAATTTAAACTCACCTGCAAATATAAAAATAATTTACTAACAGAACCTTACTAACAATTATTAACAAACACGGCCTTAAATTCTGACTTTGACAAAAGTGTACTCAAATATTAGATTTCTTTAATGGGAACCCAAAGATTGATCCATCGCTCATTGGTCTCTGTATGGCTCCGAATATCTTGTGCACCACCAAGATATTCTTTCTTCATAAATATGTATTTGGCTTTCATCTACTTTGTATATTGTGTAAATATTAGCGATCAGCGTACCATGTGTTGGTATGTCTTCATCGAATTGCAGAGTATCTACGCTGCTTCTACAAGAATGTCTTATAATTATTACACTTATAGTTCCGACTTTATCATTTTAGCTCGCTCGTATGCACAAGAATCACTTCTGGTCACTCCCAGATGAATGGCAATCAAAAGCTTTTCCCATTTACGTGGACTTTTGCGCAATGGACCAGCCTTCACGGCGCGGACACTTAGGCAAAGAAAACATCTGATGAAGCGGATCTGGGAGTTTTCGAGAGAAATATTTTGTGAAAGATTTACGAGCCTTTGAGTTTTGGCGTTGTCGAATACCGCAGGCGACGCTGTATGTACAAGCAGTAGCCTAGCGTGCTCTCTCTTTATCTTTATGACATACGCTCTGCACATAATCCTGGACACTTTTTGCTTCTGTTTTTGTCCACTGCGCTTTTCGGAACATGGGCAGATCGGGCACTCGTTTGATCTGTTGGAGGGAAGTCAGCAATTGCTCTATCAGCATAGTTTCCGAAAGATCGCTTTCTTTGAAAAACTTGTCGATCTCCTCGTTGTCGGTTACACTCGTGTGCCTCGAAACCCTGTACATATGTACGTCTGTGCCATATCTCAGGCTGCTGTACCGTATAAACTCCACCATACTTCTTGAACAAATCCTTTGCGTGCGATAAATAATATCGCCTTTCATGCAGCCTGACTGACAAAATAGCGGTTCACTCCTTTACTTGCATCGCCGCGCTCTTTATTGTAAATACTTCTGCTTGGAAAATGCTGCAGTGGTCCGACAGCTTATTAGATTTATTGACATCGCCGCCCCTACGCCTTCATGCCAGCCTTCAACCTCTAAAGGGGCTTCGAAGTTCCTCCCAAAGTGCAGATATAGGATCATTTCTTCAATCCCTTCGGGTAAAGTATACGTTATTGTACTTTGCCCGTAGGAGGAGCAGGCAAACTGCCCCAGTAGTATTGAGATTGGCGGCAATTTTTGCGCCATATAATTCGTTCAAATGTCTGCCATGGCTTTTCAATGTGACTCGGGTTTGAATTTCCATAAATTTGTCGCTATGCTACGTGAACGCCATTGCTTCTTGAGGCGCTTCGATTGTATAATTGACCATCGTCACAGAAAGTGGTCAACTGACTCTACTTCAACCTCAACACGACAAGTTCTGCAGAGAGTACTTGTTGTTATTCACCATCGTTAAAGCATTAGTACTATAGCAAAGTGTCGTATGACGACGCTGGTAACGACTCTAACTGCAGAACTATTGAGTTTCAGTACGTCCCTCGTCTTTTTCCTGATAAGCCGCGGCCATAATAATCTTGTGATCTCACAATATTTGCGTTTATTCCACAAGTCATATATTCATAAATTACCCTAACGTAATCACTAAATGGTGGTAGTACGGATTTATCCGATTCTTTAATTGGCATCTCTGAGCCGAATCTGGCCATCTCAGCAGACGACTCTTTCGCTTCAATATTGCTACTTATGTCCGGGGACTCCGCATAGAGTGACGTTGATATGGCTCACTGACGCCAACGTGTTGCGACATTTCCATACAATTCACGATTTCACTATTTTTTAGCATTATATAGCTTTGAGTGTTGAGTTAACAATTCTATTTAAATATTTAACCGGATTTACTCCTGATAAAAGCTAAGGCCAGAATGTCTCCAATCCGGTTTCCCTTTAAGACTATAAATTATGTAAATGAATCTCTGCTCACTCGTAGCAATCTTCCATTAAGCAAACTGAAACTAAAATAAAAGACTAACGAAACAATTTAATTTTTCAACTGCCAAGTGATTTTAGATTATGTTTAGTGCATGCAAAATTAATATTTAGACTTGTAATATTTTTTACCTAATACCGCCTGATTAATGTATATTACACACATACACGCATACATAGATATGTAAACTAGTTTTGAAGAAATATTGCATCCTGCAGTTTTCCATGCTTTTATAAGGCTTGGTGCTTACGTTTTTTAATGCTTTGCTTTGAGTTCTACACATGCATTTACGTAGTTGCCGAACAATAATCACACATACTCATTTGTATGTAAATTAGCGTTGCCGAGGAGTAGGGATATGGAATAATGTTAAGTGTATAATTGTTTGGGTGCACCGCCCAGTAATTTAAAAGTTTAGCTTGAGAAGATTTTGGGGTCATACAAATTCTCATCCTTGACAAGTCCTAAAAACAGTCAAAGTCACAATTTTTCTTAACTTTTCTATTTATGACTCGATTTTAAATTGTGTATTATCGTTGAGAAAATTTTTTTCGAGTATCTTTAAAAGACCCTTTCGACCTAGAGTAGCATCTAAGCCTACAAATTTCTAAAAATAAATTAGTAAACAGAAAACAGAAAACTTACAGCGACTTGAAGTTTCTATTTCAGGCGGACCAAATGTTTATGTGCATAAATAACTCATACGCCATGGCATTCTCAGTAATTGAAGCTGGTAGTAATCAAGCAGACTTGCGTTCGGTGTGGAATTTTGTTAGTTAATTTGAGTTCATTATTGCAAAACCCAAAACTTTCAAGTCGCTGTAACTTTTCTGATCATTAATTTATTCATCGCTTGCTAAAATAGTTAATTTTATGAAGAGGGTAGGGAAGAGAAAGAGACACTTGTATTTAGTAGGCTAAGGAGCTATTCCATAATCCATAGTACTCACAAACATATGCATATCTTTTCTTGAATAAAAACGGTTTTTAGGTCCCACCGATGATGAAAATTTGCATTCCCCGAAACTCCTCTCAACGTATGCTTTCAAATTTTGGGGCCGGAGGACGGGGGGATAATTGCGAATTTCTTATTGCACCTTTTATATTTGTTAAAAAATTTGTATTTGATTTCAAAATTCAAATGTTTTACAAAACGTATAGATTGTTATGAAGCTTGGTATCCAGAGATGTTCATCGTCACTGGTTTCAAATTTTCAAAAATCAAAATGGCGGATCCAATATGGCGGATACCTTTTTTTAAATTATAGTTAGTTATGAAACTTGGTATTCAGAGAGCATCGTTATCTTTTCTTACGAAATTTAAATTAAATTTTTAAAAATTAAAATGGGATCAAATCGTGCTAAAGGTAATGCATTGCGTTAAAAGTAAAACGCCTTAAAATTCGGGACGCCATATTTGATCTGCCATTTTGAATTTTTGAAAATATAACATCAATTTCGACATCAGTGATGACAAAAATTTCTGGATACCAAGCTTCATAACAATCTATACATTTTTGAATAAATCGAATTCAGTGACGACGAAAATCATTAATTACAAAATTTCATTGAAATTTGTCAAATACATATGGGGTAAATACCAAGCTTCATAAAAATTTACACATTTTTGCAGAAATCGTCCGCCATATTGGATCCGCAATTGTGAATTTTGGAAATTTAATTTAATATTCGAGATCAGTGATGATGAAAATCCCTAAATACTAAATTTCATTAAAATCTGTCAAATACATATGGAGTAAACATTCGTCCTATATTGTCGATTCGTCCCTATGTGCATCGTGGACCCCAGCAGCACCTAAAGATTTCACAGGGCATACAAAGAACTAATTATATGTATATTTTATATCCGTTTAAAAACATTTTGGTGCAGTTAGAAATCCCCAGAAAATCCTTTAACTGTTTTTTCACATAGAAAATTTGTTGGACTTTAAGTCTTTACGACGCTTAAGACGGCTTATAAATTCTCTAATTACTCTTTAGTGGAGTTAAAATTACACAAAAAAATACCCGAGGCACGTAAACTTCATTTCGAGTCGATGATTACGGATCTGTAAACCGTTTATCAAGATAAGGTCATTTTTCCGAGATATTTTCATTTTAAGTTTGCATTGCGAATGAATAAAAATTCAAATCTTAATATGAAAAATGTTACTCATACGCCATGTACGTTTATGTACAAGTTCGGCCGCAACATTATATCTCGCTTCCTTTTCATACTAAAAATTATTACAAATTTTCATTTGACCATTAAGAAGTAGTTTATTTTTCTGCCGATTTTCCTCGTTAGGAGCTTAATTTTTTTGGCAACAGGCTTTAACAAAAATAAGAAAAAATTACAAAAAAAAAATGTTAGTTTTTAATCATTTACTTGCTAAAGTTTGATTTTTTTTCATAAAAATGAGAATATCTTTGGAAAATTACCTGAACTGGAAAAACGTTATACAGATCTACAAGCTATGACCCAAAATAAAGGTTACATGTCTCGGCATTTTTTATGTAATTTCAAAACTTTACATTTCCCCTACAGAGTATGTGAGAATTATGTTTGAACTCGTTTTTTAAATACAAGCGGCGTGTAATAAAGTTTGATATATTAATAAAAGGGTAATTTGGTAGCCCACAGAAATTTTTAAGAATTACAACCCAATTATTTGTGTGGTACGCGCCTAGGCGCGCCTGTTTATACGGGGCTCGCACGAATATGAGTTTTATAAATTTTGATTTTCACCACTTTTGTAGGTAAAAGTTTTTGCTGTAGCTAAGGTATAATTTTTGCGTCTCCCCATGTCCATAGAATGATATTTGGTAAAATTCAAATACTCCGGGTATAGATTTAGTTAATATTCAGGGACTGTTAACACTTAATTATTTGTTATTGTTGTTGTAAAGAATATATATAATTAATTTAACTGGATTGAAAGATCGAGTTTTACGGGTATGCTAAATTATATACATATTTTAAATACATTTCCGCTGAAAGAACTTTATATTCCAAATTGATTTCCGCGGAAAATTGGTCCGGAAAAGCCGTTTTTCTGGCTCTAAAAAAATTTTTTTTTCGTGGAATGTGGGACGAGCTCTGAAAGTACATTTTTATTGCAGTACCAGCTCGCTGTATTAAAGTTAAAGGGCTGCCATATATTTGTAATTAAAATGTCTTCAAATTGAAAGTTAAAGGGTTGCCATATATTTGTAATTATAATGTCTTCAAATTAAAATTCAGTTAATGTTAATTAATAACGAAATTTCTCGGAAAATCTACGTGATAGAATTTTTTCATAATTTTGTATTCCTGGGTTAGTACCTATACCTACCCAAATAGTTAAATAAACAATACGGTCTTAATTTAAGCGGCTTGAGCGACCTCTAAATAATCTTTTGATTTCAATATAAAAAATAGGGGGTAAGAGCATGAAAATTCCCACTTTACTTTTTCACATGGATCACCCTAGTGTGTATGAAAATATTAATAAAAATGATTTAGCGGTGTATACATTTCTATTGTAGATACTTTCCAGTCAACTTTATTATTTAATCGTTAACTATAGGGCAACACTGATGCACATTCGTACATTTCACATGCATATACCTTATTAGTGTTGTTATGTTCGCTTTTGTGCTGGCCAGACTCCTATGCATATTCATGTTGATTTGCCATTACATATATATGAGCATAAACATACATACATATATGTAAAATACCAATGCTTATAATTATGGCTTTTTTATCTTTGTATATGTATATTAGTAGGTGATTTGAAATGCATGCGTGTAATTATTTAATTAAATAATATTTTTAATTTTTCTCCCTTTAATTTCGACTTTTCGCCGCGCATGCGCAGAGTTTTTAATAAAGTGAAGAGCAGAAGCGCCCATATGAAAACACATCGTGTGCAAGAACAGCAACAGCAACAACTGCAACAACAGCAACAGCAACAGCAGCAGCAGCAGCAGCAACAACAACAACATCAACAGCAGCAGCAATCAGTTGTGGATTTAACATCCGCTGCATCTAACAATGCAGTTGTTCTCAATGCTCACAGCCAAAATCTAACTACAAATCAAAGTCAGCAGCATCAGCAGCAGCCGCCGATTGAGCAAATATCCTGAACTTAGACACCCTTTCCCAGTAGTGACCACCACCCTGATTGATTACCTTCAAAGACCACCAAAACCTAACGCAACACCCAGTTATGTACAGACCTATTCAGTCACCAAGTGACAAAAACAATGAAATTCTCCACAGATCCAAAAGTAATCACTAGGAACAAATCGTGAGATTGCAACCATGCAATATGTTGTATGTAAGTAAAATGTAAGCAAATTGTTAGTAAATGCATGTACATACATACATACATAAGTAGATGACAAGTAAAAATCCATTTGAAATTTGAAACTGACAATCGAAGTGTTATTGAAATGTAACCTTAAAGTTAATTACAATTAAAATTAAGTTCAACGCTTAATAATATTCAAAATTATTAAAACAGTCTGCTAATATAAATGTGAAATATACATACATACGTACATATATGCATGCATATATACATACATGCGTACATACAAAATCGTTTTGTATGCAACGAAATGCAATGTTTGTTAGAAAATCTAAGGAATCAAAAAAATTGAACCAACTAAAAAATCGAAATATTCTTCTAATACAAAGGCCAATCTTCTATTGTAGTTGTTCTTGTGTGGCATAGATTGTAATTGAATTTTATTTGCGTTAGAACAGGGGATTTTAATGTAGATTTACAATTTAACTAGTGTCTACAATTAAGTGAATTCGTAGTGAATGTGAATTTAGTAGTCATTAAATAACCGAAATTTATTGTAAAATACGCTGGGGATGCAAAAAACAAAAACACACAAACCTTTTAGGAAATATTTGTGGTAGCATAAAATTATAAAATGGGCCTTGCGAGACAAGTGAGTTGGTTGGTGGAGGGTTCTGCGGCAGGAAGTTACCTAACCGCTGGCAATTGAAAATATTTCCTAAACAACAAAACCAAACCGCCGATGAAAGTAAGTTAGCATTAAAATAAATAAAGATAAATATGTACATATGTACATGTAACACAAAATATCTCAAATATTTAAGTTTGTTGCCGTAACTACACATATGTACATACATATGTATGAATGAGTATATAAAAGTTTTGGAAAATATGTGCGCAGAGTAAATGGAGTGAAAGCTAACGATTTCCGCCGTTCTTTAGATATTTTTGTTCATTTTTTAAATTTTCAACCAAATTCAAAAAACAAGGAGAATTTTTTATTTATGCTACCGGATAACTTTGGAGGAGTGCAATGGGGTATCGTAGTTGTGCTCGGTATGCAGTTACAGTTGCACGGCTATACTCAATCCCGACTGTTGCGTCCTCGTTTGCGCACTCTGGGCAATATATATATATATATTTTTTTTTTGTAATTTTCGTTGGTTCAGTTCCGGTCATTGGAGCAATGAAGACGTGTTTTTTTCTTAAAAATTACTTGTTATGAATATCTACATACCTAAAAATTTAACACTCTTAGGGCTGTTTTCTCAAGTAGGTTTTTAAAATGTATCTGCCCTTCAAACACGTTTTTTTTCCTCCGGGCCAAAATTTATATTTAAAGGGCGGATAAATTTTAATACCTTCATACTTGAGAAAACGGTACTTAAAGGGTTTGATAGCTTGGCGGTTATTGCGCTGACACGGTCCCATAGAACCGAAACCGTGTTGCTTCTTGGCAAATTTATTTTAAAAATAGTAGCTTACGTGCAAAATAGTAGTATACGTTTTAGTACAATATATTCACTTATATTTGTATATAAAACAAATTTAATAGTTCATTTCAACAAGCCTTAACAGCAGTTTATGCTCATTGGAAAAATGAGATCACAGCTCGAAGGGAGTAATTGCTCATATAAGTACCAGCGAACTAAGTTAAAAAAGTAAAAAGGAAGAAATAAACCTTGCCATCATCACGCCATATTAAATTTCTTGGAACTTAACTTAGCCCCTAACTGTAGTTAAGCTGTTGGTGGAAATGGGCTATAACTGATTAAATAAATAATTCGCAAATAATATATTTAAATAAAACTCGTAATAGTTTTATTTAAATTTTGAGATCCTTCACAGTATTTTATATCGCTAACTAACTAGCACATATCAGCTCATAAAATGTCTCTGCAGATTTTTGTCACTATGTGGTGTTAATTGCGTCAAACTGACAGTGGCTTGAAAGGCTACACTTCTAGTTCTATAATTCTGAGTTCTGGCGAAAAGTTATACTTATTTGAAAATGAGTGAAATATCTAACGCTACGTGCTGCTCTTTTACTATGGAAAGGGTGAAAGCACTGCAAAAATATGCGCACGAATTTCTGAATTGTACGATAAAAATGCCGCGAGTGAATAATGCACCTCGCTCTGGTCGGCCAGTCACTGGAAAAGTTGATGAAGTAATGCAAATGGTTGTGCAAGATCGGCATACAAACTGTCAAGAGATAGCGAAGACACTAAATATCAACGTGAGAGTTGGGTATCATCTAAAAAGAGCTGTCTACTCGAAGAAGGTCAATGTTTGGGTTCCACATGAATTAAAGCAAAGAAATTATTACTTAAACGCAACGATCTCAAACCGTTTTTGACTAACGATGAAAAATGGATTAAACACGAGAATATGCAGTGCAAGAGATCAAACAAGTTTATGTTGAGTGTTTGGTGGAATTGGAAGAGAAATGTCAATTATGAACTGCTACAACGTGGCGCAACAATCAATTCGGCCCTCCACGGTGCGCAACTCGACCGTTTGAAGGAAGCAATCCAGAAAAAGTGGCCAGAATTATTCAGTGGAAATAGAGTTTTTCCATCATGACAATGCCAGGCCACACATATTTTTGATGACTCCGAACAAATTAAGGAAACTTGGTTGGGAAGTTTAAATACATTCAGCCTGGGCCTTGCACCGTGTGACTTTCATTTGTAACGGTATGTGCAAAACTCTCTTGATGGTAAAGAATTGACCGACCGAAGAGCTACTAAAAATCACTTGGTTAACTTTTTTCGCCGATAAACCACAGATGTTCTACACCGACCGATAATAATATCTACTTGATTAAAAATGATTTTCTATAACGAAAGTATATTTTTTTAATTTACCCAAAAATCGGCGCAGACATTTTATCCCCAATAAACTACGTAATTCTCGTATATTTCTTAATATTTCATTTAAAATTCCAAATTCCTTGCAAATATATTGGAATTCCCTACTAATTGCCCTTCCTCCCTCCTTCGTGCAACATTTTATAAGGGAGTGTCAAAACGCGGCTAACAATAATTATCTAACTTCTTTTTAGTTATTTGTGTTTCCGACAGGGTAGGAGTATGACGTATTGTGGAACGATTTTCCGTCATCCCTTGTCAAATTTGGTTAGCAGGCAAACCGGTTTCGGCGTTGTGCCATCTTCGTTCGAACGAAAGCGCCGAAACCGGTTTATCTCCAAACCAAATTTGACAAGGGATGACGGAAAATCGTTCCACAATACATCAATTATCTAAGCTTTTATTATTGAATCATGGCTCTCTAAAGCTAAGCGTACACGGTAGAGAAATCTCTCGAGAGTTTCACTGAAATAAAAATCTCCTCTCTCAATTAAGTTTACACGGTAGAGCAACTCTAGGAGATATTCACTCTAGCTAGAGACAAAATAGAGAAATCTCAACTTTTATCTATCACGTACTCTACAAGTAGACAATAGTTACCTCTCGCCTAGAGTTACTTTCTTTGCAAAGGACGGAGGCTATTGGAAAAGCCATTGAAATACCAATGAAACTAAGAGGATGATTCCCGGAACATTATTTGGCTACAATCTAATTGCACTTAAAATTGTGTGCTTGTATCGAATATACGATTTAATGTCGTAGCCATTTCAAAATTTAACACTTTGTTATGAAGTTCATTGTCAAGATTTTTCTATACGTCTCCGTAGAGCAAAAAGTCTATTTAGCTTGTTAAATAGAGCGTAGAGTTGTCGTAGAGTTTTCGATCTAGCTACGTTGGACTGTGTACACGGCGAAAAAGTCTCGCTAATAACTCTCACATAGTCTTTGTTGGTGGGTATTTCGTAGAGCTCTATTGAGTGTTTACACGTCTCTAGCGGGATTTTTGTCTAAATCTCGCATGTTTTCTTTACCGTGTACACTTAGCTTAACGGAGGAAGTAAATTATAAAAAAAGGAACTAAAGAATAACACCGGGTGATCCATATCCATTAATTTTAAATAAAACAGTTAAAACAGAACTGAATGTCGGAATCTTTACTATTACACACAATTACATTTCCTGACACTTACTTTTTTAAATAACAGATATTCGAATATCTGAATTATTCTTAAAATCAAAAAATCCATATCAAACATCCAGTTTAAGTCCGCTTCATAGATTAGTTGCTTATGGCAACACTGATTTTTCTTAATTCAGATAACAAAACTAAATTATGAGAATTTACAGAGACAATTTAAATAATCCTTTCTTGGCCAAAAAAATCAGGTTGCGATTGTTAGTTTTCTTGTGCACTATTTTCATCATTGCTATAAACATTTCGCTTATTTAAATGGCGCTATACCACTTTTCCGCAGTTGCATCTATGGTCGAGTATTTCACAAACAATTGAGATTTGTTCCTCAATTTTAGCGTGCCTACAGTGTAGTCGGGTAAAATAAAAAACTTAATCTTTTTTTGTTTTAAATACTCTGTCAAACACAATCAAATTACATACATAATAACATATATAAAAACACTACTTCTTTAAATTTCTAGCATAACGAAATTTAACCAATATTGTAGATATACTTTGCCAACAATACCTAAGTACTTCCATTGCATTTTCCTACTGATTACCTTTCTACATACTTATGTATGTACATACATATGTATATTGTACAGAGACGAATAGTAATTCTTAAAAATCTGTACAACATAATGCAACATAATCGCATAAAAACGAGTCATTATTGTGTTTTTAAAAAAGCACTTCAAAATTTTAACAGAGACTCGTATAAAAAAAAAAATATATATATTAAAAAGAGACACTACCTAGTTACATACATAGGTACATACGAGTACATATGTAGTTATTGTATAATTACAAATATGATTGTTGTTATAGTTGTTTAGATTATAAATTTAAAAACAAAAAAAAAAACTATTCATACGCGCATAAATATATCGTTTATACACCTGTCTTTCGAGTTCCACTAAAAATGAAGCCATTCATGTATACATATAAACACGAAAATTCGTACATAAATACTGCATATGTTTGTTTATTTGTTCACTGGTTTAAAACTAAAAGTACCTACTTACATATGTGCATACATTCATAAATAAAAGTATGTATTAAAAATATATACAAAAATAAGAACTAGGAATGTTTTAAAAAAAATCAAGTGATATTGAGTGAGATTAAATACTTTTTTGGTCCACACTCCTCCATTTTTAGTTAGTTAGTATATGTGTGTGTATGCAATGATACTCACACATATATACATACATACATACATGTATATGTTTGCATTTTGTGAAATAAAATTTCTAACCAGAAATATGAATAACTGTAGAATGATATGTATGTACGATACCCCATTAAAAGTACTGTAAATAAATACTTTTAAGATATTTCTAGTTGTATTATTTATTTTCTATGCAATTAATTCATGCATACATAGCATAGACGTAGTCAATTTTGTTAGTTTGACTGCAAGTCAAAAAAGTAAAAAAAAAAAAATCCTATATGCCTGCATGACTTTGAATAGTGTGTATAAAGTGAATACCCTTACTCCACACATACGGCCATAACATTGTGAATGTGTTATTTTACTTTAGACTAAAATGAAAATGAAAATCCAAAAAGTTAAAATTAAAAATCAATTCAAATATGATCGATACGTATAAGTTGTATGCAATATTTTTCTTTCCAATAAGACATAAAAGACACTATGCTAACGGATTAACTGAATTAATTTAAAAATACATACATACCGATGTATGTACGTCCGCCTGTGTACCGAAAACAGGAAATACTAATCATATAATCCTCGCGGCTAAGTTTGATCCACAGTGAGCATAGCGCTGTTGCTGTTGGCTATGTATTTTCTTTTTATATATATATATTTTGTTTTGCAATACTCAGATTTACAATTACAATGAATTAAATGACAATGAGGCACAGTTACTACTTACAAAAGCTATATAGCTGCATACATATACGTAAATCTACATAGTATGTTATTTAACTTAATACATATGCAT